AATATTGAAGTTTCAAAATTTAGTTTTATTAATTTCCTGATTTTTTTTTTAGTTTCGTAAAAAATTGTAAATTATTTAACACCGAGTGTTATCAAACATGTGACCCGCAACGCGCGTGCTCGTATACGGTCGGCCGAACACTTAGTGATGTGCCCAGCTATAATCATATTTTTAAAACTAGAAAAAATATTAGAAATCATGAAATTAACGAAAATGAAATTCTGAAACATCAATATTATAACTTTCAGAAGAATAAACTCTACAAAATGGTTATAATTTTTTTTGGAAATAATTAAATACAATTTTTTTTTATTAATTTTTTACCAAAACATTAAAAAAATTAAATATCTGTAGTTCTTAATATCTTCAAATATCTGTAAATCTTATTATAAGACCAAAATTTTGAAATCTCCATTATTTCGTAAGATATCGTAATGGGTAAATCSTAGTGGGACACCCTGCGCGTATAGTCTACAACTTAATTTACATATTTTATTATCTCATATTGTAGGATTTAAGGTGTGCGCATAATACATTATGTTTATGTATATTAATTATATCATTCCTTATTTTAAAATTGTGCTCGTCCTGCTGTAATATTTTGTGTCCTATTAATAGCTGTAGGTAAGTATGACACGCTGCACTATACATAACCGACTTCGGAGGTGTTATCTTATTAGATAAAAACAATACAACAACAATACCTTCATCAGGGCGAATCTCTGGTCATCGCTCAGATCCAAATCGGTTCTTCTAGACATATTTCGTTTGATGAACCACAGTCGGCCGACGATTGAAATGAGCGTACGAAACGGACGACAGTGATAATATTAAAAAATAAATAAATATTGTAACACCTTAGACCGGCGTATGAAATRAAAACGGAACCTTATTCACATTCACCGCGAAGTGTACTCCGTGCGAACTGCGACCGATCGACAACGACAGCCGCGGCGGCGGTCGACCAAAGGAAATGCAAACGAGGAACTCTTCGCCCTACCACCGAGTACACCAAAAATAATAATAATAATAATAATATCATCATCTATCTGTTTCACTTTTGAGACGACCTTAACACACTAGTATTCAACGCCAATACAAAAATGTACATATAACTGCAGACGGGGGTCTAACCGCAATGATAAATAAAAATGTGTAATTACTAATTGCAGTGAGTGATGTGTGTGCACTCGCTAACAATTTACATTGTAAAAATAACAATAATAGACTACTGAAAAATACATATTATGCTCGTACGGGTCGTGATAATACACATTGTGAAGTYATCGAAGATGCTTGTAATGTACTATAAATTATGTACATTAATAGCTGCCATGTACCTGTATGATGATATTTAAAGACGTAAAGTACCTACAAATAGTATTGCAAGCATATTCTGCGTGAAGGGCGTGCAGCAATAAGGAAAACATAATATTACCTAAAATATGTGTAAATTGTGATACCTATACATATCATTAGGTGTATAGTACATTAACACACAATTATTGTAATTACTTATTCGTAGTCGTATTGTTAAAATATTTATTTTAAAATAAATAAATAATATTAAAACACTC